CCACCAGGAAAGCTGGGATACGTGCGCTCGGCACCAGGCCCTGACACGTATCCTGGTGGCTCGTACCAGTTCTATGGACGCCGCGACAGTTACATCGAGTTACCAAACCGCGGGAAACTCGACACAAGAAGATCGATCACTATCATAGCGTGGATTTACCACGAAGGCCGCGCGGGTCCCATCTTTAACTACATGCCAAACGGCTGGGGCGTTCATTTATGGATGGTGTCGCCGAGAGCGCTGTTTGTACGTTATACGCGTCGCAGAGGACGGAAGATGACGGCGGCGGTTTCCAGTCGTAAGATAAAACCGCGAACGTGGCAGTACATCGCAGCTACCTACGATTACATAACGGGGTACGCGAAGTTGTACCTTGATGGTAAAGTGATAGCGCAAAGGAGAATCGGAAGGATTCGACTTGCCACAAATTATCCCGTCAGAATGGGCGCCAGAAGAGGCGACAGGCGGTATTTCCGGGGCCGAATCTCTTGCGTAATGGTGTTTGATGTCGCACTGAATCCCAATCAGATTGCACGAAGGAAGAAGCGCTGCTTTAGAGGCGAGTTTCTGTGACTGTCTTTATGTCTGTCAATCAGTCAGTCAGTCAGTCAGTCAGTCGGTCGTTCATTTATATGTCTGTCTGCCTGCTTGTTTGTCTTGTCTGTCTTTGTGTATGCTTAAAAGTCTCTGTGTTTCTGTCTTGCTGTCTGTCTGTGTCAGTTGTTAAGTCGATCTGTCTGTCTGTCTGTCTGTATGTATGTATGTCTGTCTAATTATTGATGGTTCATTTTTTTGCTCTTTGCTTGTTCGTTTGCTTGTTTGTTTTTCAACTATGTTTTTCTTTTATTTGTCCAAGTAATAAATTATGCTTTACAAATTTCAATTGTGTAATGCATCTCATTGTGACATCTGTTTTGGCGACACAAAGGACCCAAACGTTCTTGCAGAGGTACAGATAAGCTTTGACGTAAACAATTAATTAATCAATACTTTCCTTGATTCCATTCCATTGTAGGTGGGCCGCCTGGACCAAAAGAAACAGGTAAGAGTGAATTGTGTTGGGTTATTATTACTGTTCCATATGCCATCTACAATCGGCGACAAAATGACTTCAGACAGAAACATTCCCCGTAGAGTTCCTTGTTTCCACATGTAGCCGTATCATTGACATTTATGTCTTTCCCTCTTTTTTCAGCTTGCAAACCCAAGATTGACCTCACATTTGTAATTGACGCTTGCAGCGAAAACGATCGTTTCACCAAAGCTAACTTCGTCCGAGTCAAGAACTTCTTGATTCATTTAATCGGCGAGTTCAGTATCTCGGTTAAACGAGTGCGAGTAAGCTTGATATTGTACGCGCAGTACCCCAAACTCCTAATTAGCTTCAGCGCCCGAAAACCCTACATCGTCAGAGTCATTAACAACATGAAGCTAGTGTGCGGTGCGCGCTACACCGGGGCAGCGCTGAAGTACTCTTACACTAAAATCATACGGCGGACCTCGAGGAAAAGCGTCCTGGTTTTGATGACGACCGGAGCGTCCAGAGACGACGTACGTGGAGCCACCGCGTTGCTGCAGCGGTCGAGAGTAGAACGTTTTAGTGTGGGTATCGGAAGGCGTTATAGCTTTAGTGAACTGCAGTACATCGCTAGCGATCGACGCCATGTATACACCGCCGCCTACAGGAATCTAGAGTCCATTGTCACTCTGGTCAAAAAGAAGATCTGTAAATCAGGTTTGCAACAGTCTTTACTTGATTAGATATGTTGTTAAAAATTTAAACTATTTGAGTCTATCTTGAATCTGTTGTTACTCTGGTGAAAAAAGACGATCTGTAAATCAGGTTTGCAACAGTCTTAACTCTATGAGATATGCCTTTAAAAATTTTAACTATTTCCTGAAATATTTACTCACTTATTTAATTCACTCGTGTAAAGCTCGACAATAGTTATGCAGGGAGGCGAAGCCAGTAAACAATATTCAGTTTCCCCGAAAAAAGTATCGACACAAATCACGCTTTCGTGTAGATCATTTTGGTAATTAAAGGAACAGTCTTAGAATTTTTTTTTTTGTAAGACGTAATTTTCAAAGGAGCTAACCTCGTACTCAAGTCATTCCTTTCGCATTTGCCTCAGTTATGCTCATGCTTTTCGGTTTAACTGTAATTTGTGTTGGCTAGCAAGTAACGAAACTGAAGGTCTTCTTACCAATATACTTTTTTGAAAATTGAAAATTGAAATTAATAAAAAGGATAAAAAGTACTAGTTTTGACGATAGCACACATCCGTACGTTAAGTCTTGTTTACTTCTAAACTTGTTTGTTGTCGTTTTTTTTTTCAGATAAATATGTACCACCTGTGAAACCAATCATACCCTATCCCAGGCCCCCGACGCGTCCGCCTACCCGTCGTCCTCCTAAGCCCGGTAAGAGACCTCTTTTAACCGTACACAGGAGTTCTTCAACCATCAATATACATGGGTTATTGACCAAGCGTAAGGTCAAGATGGCTGGATATTGGCTAAAAAGGAACGAGGTTTATATTCAACCATGTTGACCTAACAAATTTGGTCAATAAAGGATATGTTGTATGGACTTTGATGAACCTGCCTCGGCTTAGGGGAAACTTTTTCTTGCCAGACACAGCGCGTAATCTCGAGCAGGCAACATAGCGCCATCTTTTCCGCTCGGGTATATGTAGCCAATAGCGCTGGATTTGGTTCATCTTGCGTGCTCACAGAGCTAGGCATATAAGTAACAATCAGACTCATAGCCCGCAAGGGCTACGGGTCAATAGCCCATGAGGCGGAGCCGAATGGGCTATTGACCCGTGGTCCTTGAGGGCGAAGGGTCTAATTGTTTTAGTATCACCCAACTAG